GCACACTTAAGCAAAAATCACGCTTGTATGAGGTGTTTCTCGGAGGTTATAGTACATTAAAGAATGATCATGTGACTTTTACATACACCAGGTGACCTGTAAATGCGGAAAAACTGTTTCCATTGCAGTTTTGCGAAACATTCCTTTTATTTGCCTGAAAAACCACCTCATGGTTTTTGCTAAATTTACGTTTCCATTGGGCGTATTTTCAATTTGTGCAATTTGAAGGTTAATGAAAACACAGCTACTGAGACTCATCGACAGAATGAATGAATAAATGAATAAACAAACAAAAGAAAGAAAGAAAGAAAGAAAGAAAGAAAGAAAGATTGAATGAACGATGGAACAATAAAACGAACGACAGACAGACAGACAGACAGACAGATAGATAGATAGATAGATAGATAGATAGATAGATAGTCTACACATCTTTAGTGTGGTCATTTGGAGATCTTCCTCCTAAAGCTGATGTGAGAATGGTGTGTCCTGACTAGAAAATGAATGCTTTCAAACTCCCTGAAGACTCTTTGTTTTCATTCAGTTGTTGAATGGCTTTGAGTTTTCCCTGTCAGAGCAGAAAAAGGACTTTCTCTGAGAGAGGGAACTCCGTGTTCAGCACTGTCTGTCCAGGTTCGGGCTTCAGCACCAGTGGCCTCTATCTGACTGTTCTGGGTCGCCTTTTACTCTGCCTCTCGGCCATGTCTCTCTTTGTGAGACAGGAGGTCTGACAAGGTGATGTTTACCATAACAAAAAGACCATGCATTTTCTTAAAACAGCGCTGAATGGCGGAAAAAAGACGAACGGCCAATTCCAAAGTGTTAAAGCCGTTTCACTGCACACCAGAAAACATGAACACAGTCTTGTCTCCTTACAAATAATTCCAGAGTGGGTTTGGTTTTTTGCAAACAAAAATGGATTAGTGTATTCTATCTTCCACAACATAATTTCAAGCAATGTGGAGAAGAGGTCAAACTATCTGTTTATATCTGAGGAAAGACAAACATCTGAAAAAAATGAAGCGGGTCAGAGGGGTTGAGTATTTTTCCATATGTCTGGCTGTTGCTGTTTCTTAAACATGAGAAGTGAGGAATCTGCTGTATAAATCATGTAATCTCTGGTGATCCTCATACAGCATAAGACATGGATTATTAATTCACATCTGGTCATAAGACTGGCCTCTCAATCGATAACTGCCATGTCTAGACATGGATAAAAACAGTTTCTTTGAGTATAGCTATCAAACCCTTGAGAGGGGGAGGGCTTGGTGCTCAGGAGGATGTGCAATTTATGTATAGTCAAGGAATCCAAAAAGTGAACTGGGTTCTTGAGTTCTTCACAGGGGTCTGGCGCTGGTCTGCATCAGAGCTAATGGCCTTTTACGAGGCGCAGGGATACTTCTGTTTATAGGACCCTGCCGGTGGGTGGGTCAGAGTGACCATTATAGACAGGAACTTGGTTATGTGGCCTCAAAGTTGTAATTCTTGGATCCAAATGCATTTGGAAACTGTTTCCCTACACCTTCATATGGCAAGTAAAAAAGTAAAGTAATTTTTTGTCAAAGTTTGCCAAAATAAACAAAACTTAAATGTTAGCTTAATAAAGCCTTGCCTGAAGTTAAAAGTTTCAATCTGTTGAACACAATAGAAGATATTTGGTAACCAAACAGTTGCTGGTATCCACGCACTTCCATGGTATTTTTCTTCCATACTATGAAACTCAATGGCTACCAGCAACTGTTTGATTACCTACATTCTTAAAAATAGATATTTCTGTATTCAACAGAAGAAAGAAATTCATACAGGTTTGGAACAACTTGAGGGTGAGTTTGGGTGAACTATCCCTTTATAGTTAGCAGTTCACAGTTCACCCAAAAATGAAAATTATAAAACATTTATGATTTTCAGTGGAACTCAAATGAAGATACTTTGAAAAATGTCTCATGTTTGTGTGTTACAAATGTGTTACAAATGTTTTGGAGTTGAAACATTCTTCAAAATAACATTTGTGTTCCAAAAGGTTGCCAAAGCAACATTACTAAAAACTGAAGTGAAAAAGAAAATATAAAAAATCTAATTCAAAATATTATCAAAAACATAATAGCATAAAAGTCCACTTATATACGAGGGTCTATGTCCCCCACATTCTATAGACACTCAGAGGAACAGAAGAGCACCTGTCTGTGTCTGTCTCTCTCATGCTGCATGAATGGACTGAGAAAAGAAAGAGTAACAGATGTTTTATCATGTGGAGAAACCAAATTATAAGATCACTTTCCTTCTGTTTTTCTGTACTTCCATCTTGCTTCCTTTCTTCTTTTCTTTCTTCTTCTTTCTTTATTTCCTTCCTTTCTTCATTCTTTCTGTTTCCTTGTTTATATATTTTCTTGTTTTTCCCATTGCTTCCATATTTCTCTGTCCATTCTTTCTTTCTATGTTTTTACATTACTTCCATCTGTTCTTCCTTTTTTCCTTCCTTTTTATTACCTTTGTCCCATTGTTCTTTTCTTTGACATTTCTTTCTTTCTTTCCTTCTGTCTTTCTCTTTCATACTTTCCATATTTTTACCTTCCTTCTGTTCTTGTTTTCCTTCCTTCCTTTTATCCTTCCTTCGTATTACCTTTGTCCCATTGTTCTGTTTCTTTTGCATTTCTTTCTTTCCTTTCTTACACATTTCTTTTTTCTTTCCTTCCTTCTGTCTTTCATCCTTCTTTACGTCCTTCTTTCCTTCTGCATTTCTTTCTTTGCTTTCTTCTGTATTTCTTTTCTTACTTTCTTCTTTGCTTTGTCTATATTTCCATCCTTCCATATTTCTCTTGCTTTCTTTTCATCTTTCTTTCCATCCATCTTTCCTTTCTTCCATCCAGCTTTCCTTTCTTCCATCCATATTTCTTTTCTTCCTTCCATATTTCTTTTTCTTCCTTCCTTTCTTTCTTCCTTTCTTTCTTTTTCTTCCTTCCTTCCTTCCTTCCTTTCTTTCTTTCTTTCTTTCTTAAAAAGAACTGGCTTAAGGTCTGTGATGAGATGGGCAGAGCTTGAATACTCTGAAGGAGTTACAATAAACGTAAAATAAAGTTCAAATATAAAAGTATTATAAGTACAATAAAATATACAATATTTAAGTATAATACAAAAATGTAAAAGAAAAAATAAATAAAGTAAATGACTGAGGCATTTTGCTAAATGCTAGCTAGAGAATTTAAGTCTGGCTCCTAGTTAATAAACTTGAAAATATTGGAACAGGTGGCTCACATGGTGGTCCGCTTCATGTGAACAAGACACCCAAACAGTGACTTAGCAACCTCTGTTTTTTTTGTCTTTCTCTCAATGCCTCTCATCTATGTGGCTCATCTAAATCTATGTGGCTAATCTAAAGCTATTAATGCAATTTTGGTTTGCATTGTATCAACCAAATCAAATGGTACATAAAAGACAGGTTAGCCTTCCTCTTAAAGGTTACAAACATTTACTGAACAGAATTATATAGCCACCAAAACCTACTGTTGCTCATTGCTCCACGGCATGATCTTTAACCCTAATCAAAATGCACAGCACAGAGCTTTAAATAACAGCATTTACAGTGATCTGAATAAAATAACATGTTTTAATTTTAGAAGTCATCATTAAATGCTCCAGTGCCTGTAAGCGAGGTCTGGACAGAGTCTTTCTGGAGACTGTCACTCTAACGAGGTGTGTAGTACATTATGGAGCCGGTCAGCCATCTGGCTCCGCAGCAGAGTGACATCATACAGTCTCTATGTCCCTGCAGTAAAATACGAGAGGGGAAATACTACACCACATGTGCCCTTAACTCTACACTTTTCTTTTATAGCATCATCAATGTTATTACTATTAGAATGGCTATCCAATCGAAGGCACATGGTTAGTTGTTAGATTAAATAAAAGTGACAGTGACATCCAGAGTGGACAGATCCATTTAAACAAAAGCTGAAAGATTCTAAAAAATTTAAAAAAATAAAAATAAAAAAATAAAAAATTATAATGATATGTAGGCAATAGAAATCAAAGTACTCATACTATAGTAAAAAAAATAAAAAAAAAGGTTAAAATGGCAGCATGAAAGATAACATTGCCTGGGACCTGTGTGATTTAAAGACCCTCAAACCCGGTCTGGGTACAAATGGTCCTTCCTTCCTTCCTTTCTTTCTTTCTTTCTTTCTTTCTTTCTTTCATAGCTTGCATCATGTCCTTGATGCCATTTCCCATATTTCTCCTCAACATTCCTAGCTCTTCCTACTATCCTGTAAATTCAGTCCCATTTTCATTTAGTTTAACTTGCAGAAAGCTTATTTAACTTGTAAATACAGTTAGCAAGTTCACACAGCAAAACACTGCCTGAGAATATATTAGAAATGTGAGATCCTGAGATTTCAAACTGCAACATCGGTCAAGATTAAAGGAAAGTCCATTCTAGTCCGGGATAACGCAACAAGAATCTTGTTTCAACCTTGAATTAGTCACGCTCTGGGCAAATCTCAGGACAAGCTCGGTGTGCAATTCGAGCAAAGAAGTCTACGATGTTTCAGCTGTCTCATGAATACATGCTTTAGTCATTTAATAACATTAAAGGGGTCATGTGATGCTTTTTTAAAGATCATTATTTGGTGTATTTGGTGTAACAGAATATGTTGACATGCTTTAATGTTCAAAAAACACATTATTTTTCAATTCAAACAACTTCTCGCTAAAAATCAGATACACCTTGTCCAAGTATTAAAGAGCTCCACAATAAACTGGTCTAATTAGTGAACATCTCTTAACTGATTAGAAAAAAGATGTAGGATATCTTAATCTAGGGGATACAAGTTTATATAGGCCTATAACTTTCAGAAATTGCATTACAAGAGGTTCTTTTACACCTCAAATGTCAAACGCGTTTACCCAGTCTGATAAATGCACCAAAAAACATTACTGTGCCTATTACATCCAAACATGTCTTATTGCCAGCCCAGTTTGATATATAAAGGAAAATGAGAACTCACCTGCGCCTCCATGCCTCTTCTTGATGGACATCTGAAAACAAAACATGAAATCTGTTAAAAAAACAAACATCAAGGTTGAGTTAATATATTCATAGCAGTTTAACAGTAACCATATCACATAAAATGGTCTCATGAAGCATCAAAACAAAGGACCTAAATTATTGCTCCTCTCCCACAGTGGATAAAATCAACACCTGACCGTTGAATTTCCTCCCACGGATCTGCTGAATGGTACATTGACCTGACCTCACTATGATTTACAGTGCTCTTACCCAGCCAAGAGAGAAAGTGCTACTTGTTTAGAGAGAGGGTCATGTCCAACATTCCAGCGGTAATCCATGAGAGACCTGTTTTCTAGTTTCACCTTTCTGCTACTAAGCTCAGGTATCATGTACCCTGTGAAAGATATCACTGTACTCTCATATGCATTCATTTTACAGTAATGCAAATTCTCCTCCTAAAACCAAGCAATTTATGATTTGGGTTGCACTTTATTTTACAGTATGTGCACTTACATGTACTGACCTAAGAAAGTACTGGATAATATAAGGTAACATGGTTAAGGGTAGGTTTAGGGGTAGGTTCAGAGGTAGTACCTAGTTATTACCCAGTTACTGCAATTAATATAATATGTACATGAGGAACAGGACGATAAAATAAAGTGTTACCATTATTTGATTCAACAAGCTGTTTTATGTGTGTGTGTGTGTGTGTGTGTGTGTGTGTGTGTGTAAATATTATACATATATTAAGTGCTATATGTATTATATACATATTACTAATTCTGAGACGATACACATTAATGTTTTAGGTCTTGAGAACTTTTTCTGTGACAACAAATGTTTGGGGGGGCGGGGGCAATAATATTAATATATGACATAAAATAACCTAATAATAAAAATACAAAAATAATTATACCTTTTTTGTAATTCAAATTGTCTTGCTGAATTGCTTAATGTTTTATTAATATCTTTGTTATTATCTTTATCATATAAATTAAATATAAATATTATAATATTCATTAAATAATCATTACTACACTCTAAAAAATGCTGGGTTGTTTCAACCCAACTTTGGGTCAAATATGGACTAACCCAACCGTTGGGTTACATTTTTACATACTACTTCAGTCTGTGTGCATTGAATTTATTTAATACACAAATTTCGCAATTTGAGTTGAATTACTGAAATAAATTAACTTTTCCACGACATTCAAATTTATTGAGATGCACCTGTATATTTACATATTTATGTATGTATACACACACACACACACACACACACATCAGCATAAATAATAATAATCCACAACACTATGAAAAATAAAATATTAAATAATATCACACTATGAAAATATGCAATTATTATGACTGTATTTTATACATTTATACTATATTACATCTAGTTAAAAACTAAAGTTACATCAAAATGTGTCCACGAAATGTATGAAGTTGAAAACCTGAACCTACAGTAGCACAAAAAGAAGACTCTGTAACTCAATACGGTACTGTCAAACTTTTAAGACTGATCCAAAACTGCTCACTAGCTTTTTTCCCGCCTTTTCTGAGTGAGCAGACCCAGATACATGTTTAATTTCAGCAGCAGAAGCAGCAGATGTCTACTAAACATAACAATGATGTAAAAAATTATGTTTTGTTGGGTCTCAAAAGGTTAGGGGCGTTTTACATTGAAAGGAAGCAGATGTGTTGTCTGGAATCACAGCCACCAACAAAACACAAGTAATTTTAGTGTAATTCAACACATCAAGAGTGTTAAAGCTGTTTGAAGTGCCTGTTGATCATTGTTTGAGTATTCCCTCAGCTGTAAATGTACACTGAGCCCCTCTGCCTCCGTTTAATAAGATCTGGGTCTGAAAAACACAGCGGAAAGAGGGGAAATGATGGATGATGTCATGGTTGCTTATAGGCTGTGAGATTTTGCAATGAGGGGTTGAATTTTTACCGCACATCTCAAAGAGTTATGGTGTTCAAACGCAAATACAACTGTGGGTGTTACCCTCATAAACCAGCTTAAACAGTGCGTGAAAAACTGTAAAGCGAAACCGTTTCTAGGTATGTATATTACATGTTATTTTTGACAAGACTAGCGGGCCGCTTACTGGAATGTCACCTTTCAAAACAAGTTTGCAGAGGATTACTATGAATTCTTGGAAGAAAGAGCGTGAGCACGAGTAAAGTCCTGCTGTGTTTCAAAGTGGTAATTGTCACTGACACGGTAATTGTTACATGACATGTAATTAAGCATCAGTGAATGATGACTAGCTTTAGGAAGAGCCACCTTACAAAAACAGATATAATGCTGAAATATCCACACATCCGCCAATCAACCTGACAGCAAAATGAACGTCAAAGTGAAATCCAAGAACTTCAAGTAAACAAACAGAGTGTTAACACCATTAAAGGGGTCATATGATGTTGCTAAAAAGAACATTATTTTGTGTATTTGGTGCAATGAAAAGTGTTTATGCGGTTTAAGGTTAAAAAAACACATTATTTTCCACATACTGTACATTATTGTTTCTCCTCTATGCCCCGCCTTTCTGAAACGCGTCGATTTTTACAAAGCTCATCGGTCAGAAAAAGCGAGGTGTGCTGTGATTGGCCAGCTATCCAGTGCGTTGTGAGGAAAACTTGAAATCGCATCATATGACCCCTTTAAATACAAGAAAACACATCAAGATGCAACTGAAAAGAACAATGAAAAAAGGGGGGTGTTGTTTTGACACATGTGGTCTATATACTAATGAGCTCCTTCCTGGGATATGTGTAATTTTCTTGGAATTGTAGGATTCCTGTGTGTGAATGATGAGGGCTGAGAGGATTACAAATATAATCATCTCTCAGTCAGAAATAATGGATAGATAGACAGATATAAAATAATAATGCCTGAGGGGAAACTGAGGAAAACTAACTGTGCGAGTTACACTGCATTGGCTCAGAATGAGATTCAAGATCCTAACGCAGCAAAAGGAAAGTAGACGCCGTAATTTCCAGAGGCAAGGGTACCGATACATGAAGTTTGCTGCTAAAACAAATATAATTTGGGCTGAATCTGAATTATGAGTTGTTGGAGATTTTGGATCATGCTATATAACACAGCCCCTGAAGTTCAAGACTTAGTTTTGTATGTCTGGGATACCCCTACAATTCATTTTTAGCGGTTTTATTTGGCACGCATGACTAACGTTTATCATAATATTCACCGCACTGGAGATTCATGAATGCATGTTTGATATTACACACATGTTCCATGTGAAACTGATACTGACTGGTCTAAACTGGTTCATTTAAAGCCAAAATGCAATGTTGCAACTCATTTTACTATGTGCAATTTTTTCTGAGAAACGGCATATTAAACAGTTAATATGATTGATCAGTGATGTCGACCAAAAAGAAAGAGATAGGCAGAGTTAATAAAAAAATATAAACCCTGCATCCAAAATAGGCCTACTTCCATATACAGTAGGCGAAAAACGGTACATGAGCCGAGTAGCATGTCTGAATTCATAGTACTTATGAAACAGTAGGTGAAAAGTATCCGGATGACTTACTACTTCCAACAAGATTCTGAAGTGTGCATATGATGGACACTTTACTATCCCATGATGCCACAGGAGAGGACTTGTGAAATGCAGTGAAGCGACGTAACTGATGCCATAGTCTCACAAGACAGTGACAACATGGCAGAATATAGTACATTCGAGTTTTATTTATACTACACATTCATACTATATAGAATATTTTTTTAATGGTCTTGAAGCAAGTTTCAAAGTGAATGTAGTACCTACTATACAGTATTCAGTTTTGGATGAAACATTTTCTTTTTTCTTAGAAATAACTTGCACAGATGAATTTTCCACAATAAAACCAGGAATCTGCTTAAAGAAAGTAAATAAAATCACATGGTCAAACACACTAAAATGCTTTACAATTTGCTCACAACATCCTTACTTACAAGGAAGAAGCCAACTCTCATAAAAAATGGCTGAAAAGAATTAAGGGGTGTAAAATGATGGAGAATATAAGACAAAGGCAAAGATAAAAAATAGAGGGATAAGAGCGAAAGTATGCGCTGTAAAGTACAAAAAAGCCCTTCGGCATCCACTTCAAAGTGACCCCAGAGGGCTCGGGCGGGCCAGATGTGGTCCCAAGCGCAAAACCTCATCCATCTTGCATTCCATGAAACCCCCTGCAGCAGGACAACTTTTCTATATTTAGCTCCCTTCTTCAGCCTTGCTCAATCCATTGGAATATGTTCCATCTAGTTTCCTCATTCTCCATCACATTCAGCTTTTTTCCCCCCAATCAGGTCTGTTGTTTTACGCGTTTGTTGGTGTTCTGATGGAAGGCCATGGACCATCCTTCTTCCAAGCTGAGGTGGGTGGCTGAGTTGGTGGTATTTTTTTGAAGTTGACATCTAGAGAACATCAGAGAAATGCAGCTAGCATGACGCAGGGTCTTGGTTGTGTTATGACAAAAACAGACTTGGTGAAGTGCGCAGTTAAGGAAAGAAGGAGGAAAGAAGGAATAGGTCACTTTCACGGGTAATGCTGTGGACAAGACTTTTCTGATGTATCTCATATGTTCAATGTGAAATCTGTGCATGCACTAAATGTATAAACGGAGGGTATATCAGCTTAATACAGTCCATTTTTTTTGCACATGCTGCAGTTAAGGAAAGAAGGAGGAAAGAAGGAATAGGTCACTGTCACGGGTAATGCTGCGGACAAGACTTTTCTGATGTATCTCATATGTTCAATGTGAAATCTGTGCATGCACTAAATGTATAAACGGAGGGTATATCAGCTTAATACAGTCCATTTTTTTTGCACATGCCTGTGCCTGTTTTCCAAAAAGGAAACAAAAGAAGCAGGGTTGAGTAACTGATGACTTAAAAGGAAAGGATAATGTAGAATCAACCCTATTCCCGAATTAGTCCTGCTTTTAAAGGAAACACAGGGAAGTTGAATAAGCACCTCATGTCAGAGCTTCTGAAAGTGCTGTATATGTT